ACCATCTGAGTTTTGAATGATTATATAAACAAAACAAGCCGATTATTTGCTCCTTTCACTTGCGCTGCCCTGGGTTGCAAATGAAGCGCTCCTCCCACAGTGTTGCCAACTTAGCGACTTTGACGCTATTTCTAACAGCTTTTCAGACCCCCTTCTTGACTTTTTAAATCTTAAAAGTACCTAGCGAACACCTCAGAAACATCTTTGGTAACCCTTAGCTACTTTCTGGATAACTGTCGTCGACATTTCCTGCAGGTTAGCTAAACACTCCGCCTGCGCTCCGGACCGTTCTTCAGGACGTTAGGAAGGGGAATGATGTAGTGATGTGTCAGCCGCTAAAGACAGCTCTCGGAGCCGGCTCCCTGTTGGATTAACCAGAGTGAGTGACACACACCGCACCTGCGGACTCCTGACAACGCAGTTGCGTCTTTTAAATCAACTGTTCCATCTTTACTGTCCTCAGCATCTCAGAGGCATGTAGCAGAGGGCAATATTTTCAGTTCTAGCCTCTCACAAATTGATGCCTTAGTTCATCATGTGAATTCCTCTTTACGTGTGGCATTAGATGATGTTGCCCCTTTAAAAAAGAAGGTAATTAGGGACAGGAAGTTGGCTCCCTGGTTTAACTCTCATCTACGAGCCTTAAAACAAAACTCTAGGAAATTGGAGAGAACATGGCGCTCTACGCACCATGAGGAGGCCTACCTGTCCTGGAAAAATAGTCTTGTGCTTTATAAAAATAAGCTTCAACAAACTAGAACTGCTTATTTTTCAGCATTAATTGAGGAGAATAAGCATAATCCTAAATTTCCGTTCAGTACAGTTGCTAAACTTACACAGAATCATAGCTCTGAGCCATCTATTCCCTTAGCCCTCAGCAGCAATGACTTCATGGGATTTTTTACAAGTAAAATTAATTCTATTAGAAACAAAATCTTTAGCATCCTCCCTAATGCGATTTCTTCTTCCTCAGTAAGTGAGGCAGCTTCAGAGGTGACTGTAGAACCTCATCTGTGATTGAACCGTTTTGATCCAGTTGAGCTTTCAGAGTTATCAAAAATATTAGCTTCATCTAAACCTTCAACTTGCATTTTGGATCCAATCCCAACCAAATTATTTAAAGATGCATTTCCTTTGGTTACTGCCCCCATTCTAGATATAATCAATCTATCCTTAGTAAATGGGTATGTACCACAAGATTTTAAGGTGGCTGTAATCAAACCTTCACTTAAGAAGCCTTCTCTGGATCCAGATGACCCAATGAATTATAGACCAATATCTAACCTTCCATTTTTATCCAAAGTCCTGGAGAAAATAGTGGCCATCCAAGTATGTCAGCATTTAAACACTAATGCTCTGTTTGAGGAATTTCAGTCTGGTTTTAGAGAGTATCACAGCACTGAAACTGCATTAGTGAGAGTTACAAATGATATTCTCATGGCCTCAGATGAGAATCTTGTGTCTGTTCTAGTCTTGTTAGATCTCAGTGCTGCCTTTGACACAGTTGATCACAATGTTCTTTTAGGAAGACTTGAACATGTTGTAGGGATCAAAGGAACAGCGTTAGGCTGGTTTAAATCCTACTTGTCTGACAGATTTCATTTTGTAAATGTACATGACAAATCTTCTTCATACTCCAGGGTTACTTGCGGAGTACCACAGGGTTCAGTGCTTGGACCAATTCTTTTTACTATATATATGCTCCCAATTGGTAAAATCATTAGACAGCATGGGATAAACTTCCACTGTTATGCTGACGATACTCAGTTATATTTATCATTAACCCTGATGAACCTAATCGGTTGGGTAGATTACAGGCTTGTCTTGAGGACATAAAAAATTGGATGACTCTTAACTTCTTGCTTTTAAATCAAGACAAGACGGAAGTTCTCATCTTTGGACCAGAAATCCAGAAAAGGAAATTGCTTAGCCAATCGCCTGACCTTAATGGCATTACATTAATCTCCGAGAACAAAGCAAGGAACCTTGGTGTTATCTTTGACCAGGACATGTCATTCAAATCCCAGGTTTCACAAGTTTGTCGGATTTCCTTTTTCCACCTTCGGAATATTGCTAAGATTAGAAGCATACTTTCCAGGAGTGATGCTGAAAAACTAGTTCATGCATTTATTACATCAAGACTGGATTACTGTAATTCATTACTCTCAGGAAGTCCACAGAATGTAGTTAAAAGTCTTCAGCTTGTCCAAAATGCTGCAGCTAGAGTTCTGATGAGAATTAAAAAGAGAGATCATATCTCTTCTGTCTTAGCTTCCCTACATTGGCTACCTGTTAAATTCAGAATAGATTTTAAGATCCTTCTTCTCACATATAAAGCTCTTAATAATCAAGCTCCATCATACATCAGTAATCTGATTGTTCCATAAGTTCCTAACCGAGCACTTCGCTCTCAGACTGCAGGTCTACTGGTGGTTCCAAGAATATCTAAACTTAGGATGGGAGGCAGATCTTTTAGTTATCAGGCTCCTCTCCTGTGGAACCAGCTCCCAGCTTTAGTCCATGAGGCAGACACTTTGTCTACTTTGAAGAATAGGCTTAAAACATTTTTATTTGATAGGGCCTATAATTAAAATCTGATGTTAGCCTAAATCTGGACTAGTGGGGGATTACAGGGAGGTGGAGTGTGCAGTCGGTAAAGACGGCTCTCCCTTGCCCTGCCTCCAACATGCCTACATCTAAATAGGATAGATTATCCAGAGTTATCTCTGTAGTTATGCTGCTATAGGCTTAGACTGCTGGAGGACACACTGACCACTTTTCACACTCTACTGCTTTATTCTACAGTCTGCTCTTTAACCGTACTATTTTGTGCAATTTCAGCTGTTTACTTTATTTTCTCTGTAAGTGTTTTTCTCCCCAGAAGAAGCTACAATGACGTTCTGCTGAGCTGTGGTGGCCTCATGGAGGGGGCCATAGACTAGCACACTGCTGCTAACCACTAAAACATTCTCTCTCTCCTGATAATAACTTTTTGTTTTCATTGACTTTTGATGTGCTAATACTAGTTTATCCGTTTAATTATAGATCCACTAGGATAAATACAATAAAGTTTATCTTTCACCAAATACAATATTTACTAAGACATCACAATATAACTATAGACACATTACTTGTGTGTGTGTGTGTGTGTGTGTGTGTGTGTGTGTGTGTGTGTGTGTGTGTGTGTGTGTGTGTGTGTGTGTGTGTGTCTGCCTGCTCTGTCTTCTCGATCCCCAGTGAGTCGTGGAGGATGGCTGCTTATACTGAGCCAGGATTCTCTGGAGGTTTCTTCCTGTTAAAAGGGAGTTTTCCTCTCCACTGTCGCTGCATGCTTGCTTACTATGAGGATTGCTGTATAGTCACTGACACTAGTCAGTGACTTGATGCAATTTGCTGGGTTCCTTATATAGGAAACATTATTTCTGATTGGCTTAATGAACTGTGAATTGGAATGTTTATTATGTGAAGTGCCTTGAGATGACTCTTGTCGTGATTTGGCGCTATATAAATAAACTTGAATTGAATTGAATTGAATTGAGCCACTAAAAACAGCTAAATGTGCATGTGCGGCGCGCTAAACACACGTGCAGCTTGCCCCTGATTGCTGTGAGACCGGGTTGGGGGGTGGGGGGTGCAGCTGTGGTTGGGACAATTATGACATTAACTGATGGACTTGTAAATAAATAGTTTATAAATAAGGAAGAAATAACTTCCTCACGCTGATAAATAATAACTAATCTCTCTGAGGACACGGTGCTAGTGCACTCTCCTACAGCACCTTGACACGACTCAATAAATGTTGTGCAACATTTTGTGAACATCAATTTATTTGCATTTATTTGTTATAAATGCCACTGTATAATTCTTGCTGTCAGTATTTGCAAGATATTGGTATTTGGGTCTGTACTGGTTAGACTTAAATGAGTTAAACCAAGGTCTGTAGCCCTTGGGTCATAGACTATGAGCTATAAGTATATTGGTCTTTTTATACTGGGAATCAGGAGTTATTTTAGTGATCATCTTGTTTCTTATTTACTTTTGTCCTGATTGTGTCCTGAGCAATTTTATGACCGAATAAAAACAAATAAAATCAACATGAATTCAAAAATTGTCTTAAATAATCGAGATCTCAATTTCAGTCACCATAATCGTGATTATTATTTTTGCCATAATCGAGCAGCCCTAAGTACAAGTGATAATGTTGCTGGATTTCATAATTTTATCCTTCTCAGCAGCAGCACTGCAGGTGCTCTCCTTGTCCAAAATGTGTGTAAGCCAGGTCCTTAGTCAACTTAAAGTTGCACAAATTTTTCCGCTAAGTTTTATTTCATAAATCCCAAAGTTTGCGTGGAAAGTTGCTTACGCAGTTTTCTGACCCCGTTTAGTGCATAAGCAAGCTTGATAAATGAGTTCCCTGGGCATTTCATGGCTGATGAGTTGTTTGTAGATTGAGGAAGTAATAATTGGATGATTCAATAGGATGGTTCATATGTCGCTAAAAGTATTCACTGAAAATTCTGGTCTGCTTCCCCAACGGATGGTAATTTAGTATACCCCAAATCCTCTAATATTAGCCTGTATTTAATTAACTGCCGGGTATCATATTTTGGCCAGTGTCTGAGTCGGCGGAGGTGAATAATGGCCAGTTTTTTATTGTGGCCGGGTGGAATGTGGTATCAAGCAAGTACGGGGGGCGGTTGTGCCATCCGTCTCACTTTTGATACTCTCTGAGAGCCGGATAAGAAAGACCTGGACGGACTGATGTCTGGAGCTTGATGAGCTTGAGTCAAATTTTTCATTCAAATTTTCATTCAAATGTTTTTTTTTCAATATGTTAATGTATCCTGTATTTGTTTGTGTTTATTTTATACATTGTGAATGAAATAAAAGATTAAAAAAATAAATAAAAATACAGGCCTGGGCCTGTATTAGAGGATTTACGGTAAGCTGAACGTTTTTGGCTGGAACTGGGGAATATAATAGGTTGTTTATAAGTTTTGACAAATCAGAAGCCAGAGAGTGTTCTCAAACACTTAGAAAAGCTTATTTCACTTAATGTGAAGTAAATCTGTCAGTCATTAAATGCTAAAATGTTAAAATGCTGAAATTAATATGTGACATAACTGATTATAAATCATTATTAAATCATCAATTGGACTTATTTGATATATTTAAGATCTGAAATAATAATAAACATTTATGTTGATTCGTTCATTACTGTGTCCACGTAGGGTCGCTGGGGGGCTGGTGCCTATCTCCAGCGGTCAATGGGCGATCAGGCGGGGTACACCCTGGACAGAGAGCCAGTCCATTGCAGGCATTATTAAATCACTGTAGATAAAACCACCCACGATTGTAATCAACCTGTAAAGTGGGGAAATAATTTATGGGACAGAATAAGAATCATTTTATTAAAAGAGAAAACTCTTCCTTCCACATCTGGAGAACCTTGGGTTTTGCAGGCACTGGTAAATAATGGCATAAAGGAGGTCAGGAGATGGGATTGTTTAGACTGTCATGCCTTCTCCTACGTTACGACAGAGAGAGTGGGTGTTTGTGTTTACAGTCTAGGAGGAGAGATCTGGACTAGAGACTACCTGGATGGGGAGAAGTTGGCCGTTGTTACCTAGCAACAACCCTGTCCAGCTGAATGCTTTAGCTTAGCAAAAATTTGCAGAGCTGATGGAAAGAAGCAGCTGAGACAGAAAACTGCTTTTGTAAAGCCGAAAACTGTTTTGGGGGTGTTTTTCATTTTTGAAATAAAATTAAACATGGTTACAAGCTCCATGTAGTGGATTTTTCAGGATAAAGGACCTTTAACACACTCACAGACCTTGCATGACACTGAGCCACCAGTTTCATCAGTGAAAAAAATGTTCCAAGGGGACAGAGCTAAACTGAATCAGAAGTGACGCTCACAATAACCAAACATTTTCACACTGAATGATGCGTCACCATAACTCAGCCATAGAACACATCAGTGACTCCTTTGTTCAGGCGCTGGTATCTACCCCTATTGTTGCAGAAGGTACTTTTAAAATATGTTCCACTGCAAATTAGAGAATACATGCCTATACTAGGGCTAATGCAACTGCCTTTATCCAGGGGTTAGCCAGGCTGCACTAGTCCAGCTCCAGCTTGCCCAAAATGCTGCAGCTAGATTCCTGACAGGCAGCATGAACATATCACTTCCCATAGACTCCTAGTTTGTTTTAGAGTCAGGACGCCTGCCTGTGTTTTGAAGTTCCTACGGGTAACTCCTGCTTCACACTGGAAGCATCAGCTGAAGTCTGGCATGTCCCAGAGGCGGCTTGTCTCTACAGATAGGGTTCTGTTCTTTCTTCAAGATGCTTCTGTGACACGACAATTTCACCAGTTAACATAGGGCTAGACAGGAAATCATATACAGTTTCAGTGTAACCCCCCTTCAAAATGAAAGACTACTGCAGCGATGCAATTTTAATCTATGTAGATTAAGTTAATGCATGTGACCTAACAGTATCGTTCCAGAAGCGTTTTTCATGGCTTTATTCCTGGCAGAGGAGAGGAACAACATCATATATGACATCAAACAGCAATGACAAACGTATGGTGGATGGCATATATTCGAGGGATTTTGTGACTTGCAATTCCAGCGAGGAGCACAGCAAGTAAGCCTTTTCATGGCCAAGACGCTCCTGGTGTGTGCTGGATCACAGCTAAAGTAAACCGTTCTGCTGCTGTTCTGCTCCGCTGGTGCTTCCAGTGTGAAGTAGGGGTAATGCTCGACATATATCTGTCTGACCTACTCACCTGATACATCCCATCACGTACACTTAGGTGGTCATACAAACTTAGTAGCGGGTCCCCCTGTGAAATGCACGACTAGTGGAGGCAGTTGGAATAATATGCAAACTCCAGCTTTCATCAACTCTTATCATTAAGTCACAGCCATTGTGTCTCTTAAAGGTACAGTAACAGCAATCACAACGACCTCTTACAGATCATTACACAGGGTGTCCGCGGGGTTTTAAAAAGTATTAAAAAGTGATAAATAAAAATAGTCAAATTTAAGGCCATTAAAAGTGTTAAATTTGGTCTCAGAGGTATTATTTTTTCCAAATTAGGTATTATTTTTTTCAGACTATCAGATGTCGTATTCTGAACATCGACATAGAAATATATTCCGAATGAAATGTTTTGAACGATTATAAAAATAAAACAAGCCGATTATTTGCTCCTCCCACTTGAGCTGCCCTGAGTTACAAATGAAGCGCTCCGTTGCCAACTTAGCGACTTTGATGCTATTTCCAACAGCTTTTCAGACCCCCTTCTTGACTTTTTAAATCTTAAAAGTACCTAGCGAACACCTCAGAAACATCTCTGGTAACCCTTAGCTACTTTCTGGATAACTATCGTCGACATTTCCTGCTGCAGGTTAGCTAAACACTCCGCCTGCGCTCCGGACCGTTCTTCAGGACATTAGGAAAGGGAATTATGTAGTGATGTGTCAGTCGCTAAAGAAACGGCTCTCGGAGCCGGCTCCCTGTTGGAGTAACCAGAGTGAGTGACACACACCGCACCTGCGGACTCCTGAGCCACTAAAAACGGCTAAGTGTGCGCGTGCGGCGCGCTAAACACACATGCAGCTTGCCCCGATTGCTGTGAGACCGGGTTGGGGGGTGGGGGGTGCAGCTGTGGTTGGGACAATTATTACATTAACTGATGGACTTGTAAATAAATAGTTTATAAATAAGGTAGAAATAAGTTCCTCACGCTGATAACTAATAACTAATCTCTCTGAGGACACGGTGCTAGTGCACTCTCCTACAGCACCTTGACATGACTCAATAAATGTTATGCAACATTTTGTGAACATCAATTTATTTGCATTTATTTGTTATAAATGCCACTGTATAATTCTTGCTGTCAGTATTTGCAAGATATTGGTATTTGGGTCTGTACGGGTTAGACTTAAATGAGTTAAACCAAGGTCTACAGCCCTTGGGTCATAAACTATGAGCTATAAGTATATTGGTCTTTTTATACTGGGAATCAGGAGTTATTTTAGTGATCATCTTGTTTCTTGTTTATTTTTGCCCTGATTGTGCCCTGAGCAGTTTTATGACTGAATAAAAATAAATTAAAAAAATCTACATAAATTGAAAAATCGTCTTAAATAATCGAGATCTCAATTTCAGTCACAATAATCGTGATTATTGTTTTTGCCATAATTGAGCAGCCCTACTTTAGCATATCCGGTCACATTATGATGACGTCATATTCAGTGGTCGTTCTGCATCATTTCAGGCCCCGTGGTCAACTGTCTGAACCGCTGAAAAGAAGTGCCTGGCATATTTTCTAAGTAAAATAAATATGCGCAATACGTTGTCAACATCAGTGAGTCTCTAAGTCTATTCTTTTTGTATGTTATATATGTTAAAATATGTGTAAATAGGTCGCTGATTAACACTTGCAATTTAGTGTTGTGACGGTTTTAAAAAAATTCTGAAGGTAGTAAAAAAAAGTATTAAAAAGTAGTAAATTTTACTTAAGGATTGCTGTATATACCCTGTTACAATATTTTTTGATGTTTTTTTTAATCCCTAAAAATTTCAGATACTTTTCTAATCAATTCTGTCAGTTTATTATACACTACCTGGCCCAAAAAAGTTGCCGCCATAAAAAATGGTCACACAATCTGTGGGCCTGCCTCTAGCTTGACTACGACACATTCGCTGTGGCGTTGTTTCGATAAGCCTCTTCATCAGATTTATGTCCATCCAGTGTTGCATTAATGTCTCACCAACATCTTGCATCGATGATGGTGGAGTCTGACCGCTGCACAAAGCCTTCTCCAGCACGTCCCAAAGACTCTCAATGGGGTTGAGGTCTGGATTCTGTGGTGGCCGATCCATGTGTGAACATGATGTCTCATGCTCCCTGAACCACTCTTTCACTATATGAGCCTGGTGAGTCCTGGCATTGTCATCTAGGAATATACCCGTGCCGTCAAGGAAGATGGAATAACCTGGTCATTCAGCATATTCAGGTAGTCAGCTGACCTCATTCTTGGAGCACATCCTGTTGCTGAACCTCGACCTGACCACCTGCAGCAAGCCCAGATCATAGCCCTGCCCCCACAGGCTTGTGCAGTAGGCACTAGGCATGATGGGTGCATCACTTCATCTGCCTCTCTTCTTACCCTGATGCACTCTAGAACAGGGTCCATCTGGACTCATCAGACCAGTTTTTAATTAAGTGTTGGACAGTTCTTAACCCAGTTGTAGTCGTTTCTGCATCTCCTTAGATGTTTTCTCTGCTTGATGCCAATGATCTGACCCTTCTCACACAGACTATTTTATTTTTCACGACCACCAGATGTGTCTTTCCACCTGGTTGTTTAAGAAATGAGAAGCAGCTCCTTGCACCAGTTGGGTTAAATAACTTGTGTTGCTGAAATATGCAGTAATGATCCAATAATAGGCTCCCACCTGTTTGCTCAGGTAAATCCAGGTGGAGACTTTTTTGGCCAGCAGTGCGTGTTTCTAAGCAGAGTGCCTGTTTTGACCTCATGGTAGAAAATGATTTGCATTTATTGATGGTTCTTCTTTCATATTCTTCCAACAGATTATTGTAGCAATAGACATGTGTAAAGGTCAGAGGTCATTACAATATCTACTGTTAAATAGATAGAAACCTGAAGCAGTTTAGGACATTGTCCTACGTGGTTTAAAAATGTCCTCTGTGAGACAGTCCCACGTCTGCCAGTTTGGCAGGCATAGCCAAAAACTGGTGTGTGCATGAATTATGAAACTTTTAGACTGCATAAATTAGTTTAATTTTGTATAAGAAATAAAAACAGCATCTGCTTCCTCTAAACATCTGAACCAGGACCCTGAACCAGCTGTAGCTGGGTGTGTCTTTACCCTCCTACGTGTAATGGGAGCTCATCTTTATGCTGAACTAAGGAGGAAAGACTCCCTATTGGCTCATTTATCACCTTTCCTCTGTGTTTATTTTTCAGATCCTCTCTAGCAAAGCAGGAAGTCCAGGCAGTCTCCACACACATTCCCCGGCTGTATGAACTGATGATGTCACAATGTCAGCAAGCAGCTCTAAACTGTCCTCTCTGTTGTCAACTCATGCTCTCAAACTTGCCTGTGGTTACTGCTGTCACCAGGAAAATGAAATTACGTACACCCTGAGGCCAGTTCAGCACCAGTGCCAGTGCACCGTCCTGCTCTGCAAAGCCAAAGATGGCAGCAAATGGAGGCCCATTTCTAAACGCCCCACATTTCCAATCCCAAGCAAATATAAAGTGTGCTGGCACTTTAAGGAGAACTTTGGGTGCACAGTGCACAAGAATCGTTGCACCTTTGCAAGAAGCCAAGAAGAAGCTGCTGTGTGGATGTTTGAAAGACAGCAAGGACTGGACCACCAGCTTCTCTGTGATATGGTAGCTCGGACCGGGAGGGAACCCCAGCAGGCCAACAGGACAGAACCTCTGCAGGAGCTTCATGCTCTCATAGACCTGAAGGTGGTTTGTGATTTGTGCTCCAACAAGGTGAATGAAATTACGTACACACTTCATTCAGTTATACACAAGTGTGCTAAAAATCTGCTTTTGGCCAAAGGCAGAACCTCAAACCACTGGAGGTCCATTTGTGAGCGACCCACTGGTGGTAACATGGGTCCTAATGTTCTCTATAAAGCGTGTGACTACTACGTAGAGGGCTCTGGATGTTCACAACACAAACTGGGCCGGGGATGCTCTTACGCCAGAAGCTCTGAGGAGGCCATGGTTTGGAACTATCTTAGAGAGAAGAGAATGGATAAGAGTGAGTTAATCAGACTGATGAGTGAGTCGGACCCTGACTCGGAGACACCAGAATCTGCAGCTGAGAAAATACTTCACAGGTTTTCTGGTGAGTTCACAGAGTTCTGCCAAGAATGTTTGCTTGAATGTCCCATGAGACTAACATCCAAGCGGTGGAACGAAACATGTGCTGCAGACACGGCACACACCTGGAACCCAGTCTTAGTCCATCACCTGTCAGAACATAGCACAAAGCAAATCTACAGCCAGATCCGCCCTCGTCCCCAAAACTGTCCTTTTGAGTACTGCAGCCATGTCAGACAAGGCAAACCCTGCTGGCACAAGGTCGGCCGCTGCAGGTCTGCCCAGAGCGAGGTGGAGATGGTCGTGTGGAAGGCAGAGCACAGCGGGCTCTCTGTTCGGCCTCATCTCCTTCAGCTGAGCCTTCCGAAGCAGACCCGGTCCACACAGGTCACCATCTTCTGTAAAGTGTGCCTCCTGGCGCTGTCCTCCCCTGAGAGTTTCTACAGGCACTGCTCCTCATTAGAACATGCCCAGCTTCTCTCCCAAGACACCACCACCAAGTGGAAACAGCGTCAGCCTCCTCACAACCGGCGAGCTGAGTTCTGGTTCTGTGGCAGGTAAACAGCATCATTCCTCACAGCGCTACAGCTTCACACAGCACTCACTAATGCTAATGAGAGCAGATAAGTTCTCTTGGTTCTTCTCCCTCCCCTCCTTAAACCTACGTGACCAGTCTCGGGGTCAGATTGATGCTACTGTGTTTCCTGATAATAACTTTTTGCTTTCCTTGACGTTGGATGTGCTACTACTAGTTTATCCGTTTAATTATAGATGATAAATACAATAAAGTTTATCTCTCACCAAATAGAATATTTACTAAGACATCACAATATAACTATAGATACATTACTTGTCTTTGTGTGTGTGTGTGTGTGTGTGTGTGTGTGTGTGTGTGCGTGCGGGTGTGTGTGTGTGTGTGTGTGTGTGTGCTCTGTCTTCTCGATCCCCAGTGAGTTGTGGTGGATGGCTGCTTATACTGAGCCAGGATTCTCTGGAGGTTTCTTCCTGTTAAAAGGGAGTTTTCCTCTCCACTGTCGCTTTATGCTTGCCTAGTATGAGGATTGCTGTTTAGTCACTGACACTAGTCAGTGACTTGATGCAATTTGCTGGGTTCCTTATATAGGAAACATTATTTCTGATTGGCTTAATGAACTGACCTGAATTGGAATGTTTATTATGTGAAGTGCCTTGAGACGACTTTTGTCGTGATTTGGCGCTATATAAATAAACTTGAATTGAATTGAATTGAACTTGAATACTGTGAGGTCCTGCTTTTTTCAACTCCGCTGCCCTACACACCTGAACACCACCCTAAGGAGACCACAGCTAGTTATTTAGGAATCCTCAGATTCCTCACCGTAACAAATAGACGCTCTGTAGCCCTGTTTCCGTGTTCAGGCTCCCCTCCACCTATCTACGTTCTGCTGATCAGGTCTTGCTCTACATTCCCAAAATGAAATCCCAATCCCACAGAGAGTGGGCTGTTGCGTTGTTGTTTTTGTCTTTATACTCTTGGACTGTGAGAGGCTTTCAGTTCTGCCGGACGTGTCTGTGTGTTGTGGGCCTTTCACATATGGTATGGTATCAGTCTTTCTAGTTTCGTTCAGTTACACTTGGAGTAAAATTAAATGAATAAAATCACAGGTGAACAGGAATCACACCCAGAAGACCTGGCTCAGGGTCAGAGAAGACGATTCAGCTCTGCTACCAGTGAACCAACACTCGTCAGTGGTGGGTCTGTAAACAAAAGTCAGCTGACACTCTGCAGCGGCTGCAGGTTAGCTGTCCACAAATGTCATGAGATGTCCTTGGAAGATAAAAGTAACGTGTTACTGAGTTGATGTGTAAATTAAACGTTGTCCATCCATTTCTGCCCCCTTGGGTCATGGGGGTTAGGGCCTCCTCTTCCCCAGAAACCTCCACCAGCTCTCCCGTCAGTCACAGTTGACGTCAGCAGCTCCCCATCCCCACTGTAAACAGTATGAGCGAGTTGCTGCCTTCCTCTCCTGAGGCGCCGGATAGTTTGCCAGAACCTCTTTGGAGCCGATCGAAAGTCTTTCTCCATGGCCTCACCAAACTCCTCCCATGCCCGAGATTTTGCCTCAGCAACTGCCACTGCTGCACCCCGCTTGGCTATCCGGTACCTGTCTGCTGCCTCTGGAGACCCACAGACCAGCTACGCCCTGTAGGCCTCCTTCCAATCCAATCCAATCCAGTTTATTTCTAAAGCACTTTAAAAGACCCAGCACAGGAACAAAGTGCTGTACAGAAAGTACATTAAAACTATTGACTAGACAGAAAACAGCAAAGATAAATAAAACACATGATACATAAAATTAAACTAGCCCTATATTAAAAAATAAAAACTTGATAAAACTTGATAAAACCGCATTTGAATCAACTAAAACAGCTAAAATAAAACAAAAAATAGAAACCAACATCTCACAAAGTATTAAAAGCCAGGGTAAAGAGGTATGTTTTCAGGAGTGCCTTAAAAACAGATAAGGAACTGGCCTGTCTTATCTCTAAAGGAAGTTCGTTCCACAGTTTCGGAGCTGCAACAGCAAAAGCGCGATCTCCTCTAAATTTACGCTCAGTCCTGGGTACAATCAGGAGCAGCTGATCAGCAGACCTGAGAGAGCGGGAGGGAGTGTAAGGCTGTATCAGATACGAGAGATAAGAGGGGGCGAGGCCATGAAGACCTTTAAAAGCAAATAAAATAATTTTAAAATTAATCCTAAAAGAAATGGCAGCCAGTGAAGTGAAGCTAAAACAGGGGAAATGTGCTCAAACTTTCGAGTGCCAGTTAAAAGACGAGCTGCGGCATTTTGTACTCTCTGTAGCTGACTAATACAAGATGCACTGACCCCAATGTAGAGTGCGTTACAGTAATCCAGCCGAGTGGTTACAAAGGCGTGGATCACTGTCTCAAAGTGCTGCCGTGAAAGAATTGGCTTTATTTTTGCCAGCTGCCTGAGGTGAAAGAAGCCAGATTTTACCACCGCCTTAATCTGATGTTCAAACTTCAGATCACAGTCCACTTTGACCCCCGGGTTGGTGACAGTTGGTTTAACAAACTGGGCCAAGGAATCTACAAACACATTGGGGGTCTCAGTAGGACTACCAAAAATCATCACCTCAGTCTTTTTATCATTGAATTTTTAAAAAATCACAGACATCCAAGCCTTTATGTCGTCAAGACACTGTAGTAATGGCTGTATGAGGTTTCTGCCTTTTTTCTTTAGAGGGACATAGATCTGACAGTCGTCAGCATACAAATGGAAGACAATGCCATGCTTTCTCAATATAGAACCTAGAGGAAGAAGATACAGAGAGAAGAGGAGGGGGCCTAGAACTGAGCCCTGCGGGACACCACACAAGAGCGGAGCGGAGGACGACACATAGTCACCGAGACTGACACAAAATGTTCGCCCCGCCAAATAGGACCTAAACCACTCCAGAGCTGTGCCGCTAATGCCCACCCAGTGCTCTAAACGAGAGAATAAAACAGCATGATCCACAGTATCAAAAGCAGCTGTCAAATCTAAAAGCACAAGAACAACACAGTCCCCAGCATCAGTAGCTAAGAATATGTCATTAAAAACTTTTAAAAGGGCTGATTCAGTGCTGTGAAAGGGTTTAAAACCAGATTGGAAAACCTCTAATACATTTTGATTTTCCAAGAAGGCCAATACTTGGCTATGAACTACCTTTTCAAGAATTTTAGGAAGAAACGGTAGTTTGGAGATAGGCCTGTAATTCGCAAGATCCTGCGGATCAAGAGCAGGTTTTTTAATCAGGGGTTTGACTACTGCATGTTTAAAATCTTTAGGGACAACGCCTGACATTAGACTATGGTTTACCAGCTCAAGAACCAAAGGACCAACTGTAGGTAACACCTCTTTTAAAAGTCGAGGAGGAACAGCATCATTTGGAGACCCTGCAGGCTTAAGATGACCAACAGTCTCCTGTAGACATGACAGAGTCACAGGCTCAAACCTGTCAAAGACAGCAGAGCAGGAAACAACGACTGAGGGGTAATGAGCACAAGGACAGATTTGAGCCCTTGTGGAGGAGACCTTCTCAATAAAGAAGAGTAACAAATTTTCACAGGCTTCTAATGAGGGCTCGATACAGTCAGCATATGGTGCACTAAGAACAGAGTTAATAGTTTTGAATAAAACACGCGGGTTGTGGCAGTTAGACAAAATAATGTCCGAAAAGTGTTTTCTTTTGGCCTCTTTCACAGTTCTTTGATATTGACGCCAACAGTCCTTCAGCATCTGAAATGACACCTGTAGTTTGTCCTTTTTCCATTTGCGCTCAGCTCGACGGCAGTCGTGTCTGACAGCTCGGGTCATGTCGTTCAGCCAAGGCTCAGATTTGGTTTTAGGCCGCCTGGTTTTTAATGGAGCCACAGTGTCCAAAGCAGTCCGACAGGTGGAATAAAATCAAGAGCTCAGATCATCAGTCTGGCTGCATAAAAAATCCGGGATCTGACAAATCTGGTTAAAGACTGTTGAAAAGTGCTCAGCAGTGGAGGAGTTAAAAACACGTCTGCACTGAGCAACAGCGGGAGGTTTAACTGAGGCACATACAAGAGGAACTTCAAACAACACAGGACTGTGGTCAGAAAACACAGCATCACAAATCTCTATGTTAAAACTAGGGAAGCCATGAGATAAAACAAGATCAAGTGTGTGTCCACGTTCATGTGTGGGACCTGCCACACATTGCACCAGATTAAACGAATCAATAAGGTTTAAAAAGCCCCTCGCCATGGGCATATCAGGGCAACACACGTGAATATTAAAATCCCCAACAATAAGAATACGATCATATTTTGGCATGAATTCAGCCAAAAAGTCAGCAAAATCATCCAAAAAGTCCTTATTGTATTCAGGAGGCCGATAAACCACCGCACACAACACTGTGTGAGAGCAGCCCAGCTCAAACACAGACAGTTCAAAGCTGGTAAACGACGGGGTTGGTAGCTGTTTACATCTAAAATGACTTTTAAAGATAGTGGCTATTCCTCCTCCTCGGCCCAACATACGCGGGGAATTAAAATAGCAGCAATCGCCAGGTAGAAGATCTGAGAAGATGCTGCACTCACCGGCGCTCAGCCATGTCTCGCAGACACAGAGAAAATCGAGTCCTCGGGATGTAAAAAAATCCTTCAAAATAAATGTTTTATTCGCTAGAAACCTAGCATTTATCAGGCCAAACCTGGCAGGAAGCGGCGGGTCCCCATCGCTAGCCGTCATAGAAGCCCGACACAGAGGCCGCAGGTTTCGCGGATTCACACCACGCCGGCGGGGACGAGGGGAGCAGGGTTTTCGGGACTGGGACGTCCCATCCAGGCCGAAGACAGGTACCAGCCAGGCACAGACAGGATCCAACGATCGCCGAGAGAAACGGAGGTTTGGCACCGCTCCTTGTTTTCTAAATAAGGGCTTGTGAGAATAGCCAAAAGAAGCTTTCAGCTTCACCAGGAAGCCGGCCTGGCGACCCGGCGACGGCACTTATGCCGGGGTGGTGGATCTGGAACACGGCACAGGTGAGCCGGGATCTCCAATATTAGCGGGGGCAGAGTTTTATGTCCAGCTTGGTTCCATTTTGCCCAGCTTTTGGCAGAAGGTCGGAGATCCAGTAGGGTTAGGCGATCATATACCAAGAGAGAGTTGGCATTTCCTACAATAGTCAGTAAAATAAAAACAACCAAACAAAACACTGGTAGTGACAGACGGCAAGCCATGCACACTGGCGCCATCTTTACGCACATCCTTCTTCAGCCTGACGGCTCCCCGAACCTCTGGTGTCCACCAGCGGGTACGGGGGTTGCCACCACGACTGGCACCGTCCACCTTGCGACCACAGCTAGCAACAGCCGCCTCAACAATCGCAGAGTGGAACAAGGCCCACTCGGAGTCAATGTCCCCCACTGCTCTCGGGACACGGTCAAAGCTCTGCCAGAGGTGGGAGTTGAAGACCGTCTTGACAGGTTCTTCTGCTAGGCATTCCCATCAGACCCTCACTATGCGTTTGGGTCTGCCAGGTCTACGCAGCATCTTCCCCTGCCATCTGATCCAACTCACCACCAGGTGGTGATCAGTTGACAGCTCCGTTCCCCTTTTCACTCGGGTGTCCAAAACATACGGCCGCAGGTCAAATGATACGACTACAAAGTCTATCATCGACCTGCGACCTAGGCCAATTAGGCCAAACCTTAACCAATTCAAAACCCTCCTTCGGCTTAATTTAAAACACCTATATACATTTAATTAAACCCCTCCCCTCACCTTTACTCTAACCTTAACCATAGGATTCTGGCCCAGACCTTAACCACTTTAAACCCTTCATAATCCTAACTTAAAACCCCTATATACATTTAATTAAACCCCTCCCCTCACCTTTACTCTCACCTTAACCATAGGATTTTGGCAGCAACCAACCTCTTAACCTTTACAGACCCTGTAAGTATAAAAATACAAAGAAAGAAAATTCATCATGAAACAGATGAAACGAAATGATCAGGGACTGCAATCAGAGCCAAACTACAACACTCTAATTTCCTTTACACCTTCTCTTCACACTCTCCTTGTCGCTGTCTTAGGGGGGCACTAGGCAGCCAAGTTAAGCTTAGTCTGGCTCGGCTGTGATTAAGACATAACTTGTTACCACATCTGCTACCTGGTCTCTATGCCTGGCCTTGCTCTTTGACTCTCAATGTGGACGGACCAACACCAGTTAGCGACCCCTGAGCGCCCAACGAATATAACATGGAACAAAAAACAAAGTTTATTTATTTTTATTTTTAAGAATATCACCCTTGGAACACTAACCTGTACAACACTACAGTGAAAATAGACGAATAAAATAGCCATACTAGACCAATGTGGGTCACAACTCTTGAAACAGTGTGGTAGTCAATAAGGAGAAAAGAGCTGCGGATGACGTGCGTCGGCCCGTGCATTGCCTTTGGCTCCCCATTTCAACTGCCCAGTCGTTGGATGAGGCGGGGGGGGGGGAGGGGGGGGGGGGGGGGGGGTCATCGAGATAGCTAATTTAATTATCCCAAACTAAAATTGTAACTTTGTGTAAAGTGCAACAACAACTGAAATGTACTAAAACACACTGTATTAATCCATGCTTTCGTTCTTTTTTAAACACAGAAACAGTTTTGTTTAGCTGTTTGTAGCTACAGTTACAGGTAAACAAAACTGTTTCTGTGTTTAAAAAAGAACGAAAGCATGGATTTAGAAAGACACAGCAAGAACACACCTAAGACACACTGTATTAAATTTGAATATATATGAAGAACATTTTGCCATGAACTTCCACAATCTACTGAAACTACTTTCAATAGTAAAAAAGGAAATGTAAAAGCTACTTATTTTCAATCATCCTTCATGAATCAAGGTCAAACACCGCACATTATTTTGAGGTATGTAAATCTTAGTGTGTGGTACCTGGAAAAAAAATCCAGTAAGGCACCACTGATTGAAAACAATACTGTATACACAAAAAAAGACTAAAATAGTAACTTTGTCTTGAAATATAAAATATAAAGTGTAACAACAACTGAAAAGTACACAGTGTATGAAAATAGAATAAATATAAAGAACAATTTGCCACCTACTTAAATTACTACTGGCCTTTAGTTAAAGAATAAATCAAATGCCAAAGCAAGTTATATCACTCAAGAATCAAAATCTCAAATATCACTCGTGGGAAAAATCAAAAAAGGTAGGTAATGACTGTAAACAATTAAATAATACAACTGTGATGGCCTCTGCATTTTCATAAACGTTTTTTAGACATGCATAGCCTGAGGTTGTAAACACTGTATGGGAATTAATTAAATTTTGTTCATTCAATTCTAATAATTACATCCGTAAATCATATCCAGCTTACCTATGGCCAAATAGAGTCTGTGTCCGAAGCACTGAAGCCTCATCCAGCCATTGAGTTGAGCAGCCAGTGTTACATTGCGGGTGTTGTCTGTGGTCATGCAGATGAGTTTCCCCTCATCTAGGTTCCAAGCAGCCATCGCTTGTCTCAGTCCAGCAGCGATGTTCTGCCCTGTGTGATCCTCTGGGAAATAAGACGTCTGTAGACATCTAGTTTCCATGTTGAAATCGGCATCTATAAAATGAACCGTGAGGCTCATATACGGTTCCTTTGTCTGGCTTGACCACAGGTCGGTAGTGGTGGTGAAATATTTAGCATTAGCAAGGTCCTTTAGAACGCCCGGGTGACACTCATCATTAAGAGCAGGAGACACACTCAACTGAAATGATTTCAAGATGGCAAGTCGTACCTTTTATCTAAAGTCTCAACAAGTTTCTTGAATCCCACATTAGCTACAGTGTGAATGAAGCACTGGTCTTTGGCGAGGAACAAAGCAATGGCGTTTGTTATTTCTTTGTGTCTTTGAGAGCTTGTGGGGTATTTTGTTGCGTTGTGGAGGGTGTCCTCAATTGATGTTTGGGAAGTGGAAGCTGTCGGGGTTGAGATGGTTTTCTTCTCTATTTGTTCTTTCATTGCCTGGTCATATATCACTTTGTGTGACGACTTTAAGTGGTTAAAAAGATTTGTCGTGTTGCTTTGTGGCGCAAGCACGACGGCACGGCAATATTTACATATTATTGTTTGCTGACACACATCTGCTTCCTCAAACCCGAAGTGTTTCCACACCACAGAAGCAATTTTTCCTTTTTTCTCCACTAACGGTTGTTTTTCTTCGGCCATTATCTCCCCCTTATCTTTTCTGCGTGACTGCTAACACACTAGCCTTGCTTGAAACAACTTTAGCACCGCTGCTGAAGACGAGCACACGTGGGGCTGGCTGTGGGGAGAGCAGTGTGAACAGAGAGTCTCCCGGGCTCGCGGCACTGTGTTATGTTGTGCCTCACACAGCGTGGCTAGTGTGTGAGAGCGTCGTCACAGGCTTACATGCGGTGCTGCGCTGTGCTACACACAAAGCAGCATGGGGGAAACAAATGAACGAAACCAAAAAATCTGATTTTTTTCTTTTCATGATCGTTAAAAATCCATATCGTAATTGAGATTAAAATTCAATTAATGGCCCAGCCCTACTGCTGACCCAATGAAAGCTCTAAATGTGGATAAAACAAAAGCTTATTGATGTCAGCTTCTTTCTGTGCAACTATTTAACTCTAGACCACAAAGCTGTGAATATGGGGACAACTGTCCTAAAGCTCATTCAGAGGCGGAGCTGCAGGAGTGGGTGATGCGTGCTGCAGAAGAGAAGGAGATCAGAGACACCATCCAAGTCCAGGGTCTCATGTGTTATAATCAGAACCTCCTGGAAGAGTACAGGAACAGCAGCAATGAAGTCTACATTGTGAGTATAAAGCTATCCGACTAAACATCACCACACTGCATCCAGACTCAGGAACTATCTCGAATATTTCTAATAGGATCAATACATTCCACAAGTTTCTCCCTTCATTTTCTCCTCTCACATCATCGATTATAACTTTCAACAGCTGTGTGAACAAGTTGACGATGTCACCATCTGTTGTGATGAAGATTTAAATGTAGAGATTGAAGAGACCAACGCATCTGGAACGCAACACAGGTGGAACTTCAGAGCTGAAAGTGAGGTGAGATGAAACAAGTTCAGGTTTTTAAATCAGAATGTCTACACACACACGTGCGTGCACACACACACGCACACACACACATGCACACACACACACACGCACACACACACACACACACACACACACATGCATGCACACACAAACAGCACACACACACACACAAACACATGCACACACACACACACACACACATGCAAAAACACATGTGCGCACACGCACACACATGCGTGCACACACAAACAGCGCACACACACAAAAACACATGCACTCGCACACACATGCGTGCACACACAAAGCGCACACACACAAAAACACATGCACTCGCACACATGCGTGCACACACATGTGTGCACACACAAACAGCACACATACATGCACAAACACATGTGCGCACACACACACACATGCACGCACACAAGCACAAACAGACACACACAACTATAATGATTAAACATGGATTACCCCTATGAACACCCATTTACCTCTAAGATGCTGGCTCCTTCTTGCAGGTAAATGGGGTATTCATAGGTAGTTTCTGCTAGTTAATCAACAACAGACAGCTACATTTTATAAGCTTGACCCTCCCATGATCTAGTCAGAAACAACAAAGCTCCTCGGTTGAGAAGCCAAATGTCTTCAATAAACCAAACGCGTCCAATTGCCCTCACTTGGATCACCGTGACCCAGATGTCTGAGAACCTTTACCAATAAACGCCCAAAAGACATTCAACAAACTCTGTTAAAGGCACCCCAACGACAGATAGTCAGTGAGAGAAGAGTGAAGGGCAGGAGGATTCAAGGTTGGTTTTTTGTTTTTGGCTATTGGGCAGGTGACGGATGCAAACACGTTTATTATGGGACGTCCTATAGGGAGCTTAAGTCTCCTCTCCTTCCGGTCGGCTCATGGGTCCCCGGAAGAATGAGAAAAATGAAAGCAAGTCAACGGGGCTAAAAGAGTTATTTTCTAATCCGCTTTGCCTTAGACCCTGGACCCACATATGTTGTACTTATATTTAAACGAGAAGTAATGATGGGTGTTTCGACCAGTCACGTACTTTCAGATTTATCAGCTTGTAAAAGTTTGTAATTATGACTACAAATTGGATGTCGGTACATCGCATGTGTGATGTCACCACAGAATCTCCTCTCCTCTAGCGCAGCTGCCACTTACCAAATGGTCAAATTTATGGTGGTTCTGTCCTCCTGAAGGAAGGATTTCAACTTTGCTGAACTTACGGACGTTTTCCCTGTTTTTCTTTGTGTCTGGTTCGATTATGTCACTTAGGCGATGCACATTTGTAGTCCTGGACTTATTTTCCAACAAAACCTAAAATAACGTCTCCTTCTGTCCGAAAATAATCTTTTGTTCTTGGTATCAAAATACTTCTTTAAGATTCACGGACATCATATGTGAAATCCATGGCACAAAACAAGCAGAGTTAGAAAATAGCGTTTTTAGCCCCATTGACTTGCATTCATTTTTTCATTCTTCCATATACCCGTGGTCCTGAATTAGGTAGGCACGCCCATACTGGTCCATTCCGCTGACACAGAGAGAGAGAGTTTACCTTTTTAAACACCAGCGAGTGGGAACCGGATGATGGAGAGAGAGGCAATGCTATAGGTTAGGCAGAATTGTTTTTCTCCACTTTTCTACGGTGATTGGCTTAAACTTCTTCACCACGCTGCTGAGTCGTGCTGTCAGACATGAGTAGCAGACGTGCAAATCTGTTACAGAACAGAGTTTAGAGGCGTGAGTCGTACAGGCGTAATTCAATGCCAAATTGCGTGGTTGCTATGCTAAATGTGTATGCGTTGGCAGGTCTGCATTGTGTATGAGGAGCTGTTGGTGCCATGTAAGCGCTACAATCCTAATCTTCTACGTCTCTTGTTCCAGAGGCAGCTAGAGCATGTGGCGCTGCTGAAACAGGAACCAGGAGCTTCCTTCAGTCTGGGTGACCACAGCTCCGAGCCGTGCATCTACTCAACAGGGAAAAGCTTCCTCACTAATGACACAACTTACACCTTCACCGTGACTTTCACATCCATACACCCAGGCTTGTACGAACAGTGGTTAGTGCTGGATTTTGGCATGAGACCAGTTCTCTTGAAGAAACTTAGAGTAAGAGTAGGCCAGCCAACATCTGATGAGAGGGAAGAAGCATTCCCAAATCGCGGAGCATCCCTAAAAAATGTGGAGCGCTGGAATCGAGGGAACAGGGTTGTAGTCCCCCGTTTGTCCAGGACTGAAGAATATGAGGAACTGCTAAAGGAGTACAAGCCTCCACAGATGAACCTTCTCTTTAAATCCTCCTACAACAAGCAAGCACCACTGACCACAGACAACTACAAACAGATGATGCACCAGTTCCTCTATGACGAGGAACTTGCCCAGGACCAGATCGTTTCAAGGTACTCATCATGTTTGTTTGTTTCACTCATCGTGTTGCAAAGTTACTCTACTTGAACTAAAAGTTTATCTTCCTTAATGCAGGTTGAATGTTTCTGGAGAAGTGACAACAGTGGATAGGTTGGACAGCTCACGGTTTGGAACGACATTTGCTGCTCAAGGAGAACTGTTCTGCGTTGTCTCGATTCCTTACAACCTAACAATCGACAGCCCTGAAGGACTGGTGCTGAAGAACAGCATCCAGTCAGGTCTGATAGCTCCTTGTAACTCAAATCATCCAAACCTCAAGGTTTATGAAGCCACCATTGTGCCACATGGAACAAGGGAAGGCCACATCATTTTACAGCTGTCCAAACAGTGCTGCTCTGATCTGGCTCTCAAAAGCAACACATCATTCAAAATGGAGGTGCAGTTTCAGCTGGACCGCCACAACTTCTGCACCATGCACAAGGCTGTAGACCTCCTTCCAGATACATCCAAAGTCCTACCAGACCTCAGAAACTGTGGAGTTCCTGTCAGTGATGTTACCTTTGAAATCCCAAACACAAAGCAGCAGGCAGCACTTAGCTTCATCCTGGGGAACTGCGATGTGAGAAAGTCTGTGGCTCCTCTCCTCATTTATGGACCTTTTGGAACTGGAAAAACTTTCACCCTTGCCACCGCAGCCAGAGCACTTTGTGAACGTCCACAGAACAGAGTGCTGATTTGCACCCACACCAACAGGTAATGTGCTGTTCAGCTGGGTCTGCAGACACAAAGTAAGATAAGCTTCTGAGCATGTTTCATGATACTAAGCAAAGCAGCAAATCTTGATGCTGAATAATGAATTTAAAAATAGATTAGTCACATTTTCTCCTGTCATCTGTCATTCTGTTTGGAAGTGAAGCAGGCCTCAGCGACCCTCTGGACCGTGTTACGATCAGGGTCGGGCTGAGTAAGAACTGTTGAACTGAGTCTAAACTGGGGTCATTTTGTGTCTTTCAGCTCTGCAGACCTGTATGTCAGAGTTCATTTTCACCCATTTGTCACCACCAACAATGATGGGCTGAAGCCAATAAGGATAAAAGCAAACAAACAAGGGGGTGCTGTATTTGTTACAGATCAAATTACGTTGAAATACTGTTTTCTCTCAGATGACAAACAGAATTTTCTGCCACCTACCAAAGCCGTCCTGGACAACCACAACGTAGTCATAACCACCACGTCAATGGCAGAGCATTTCCATGGACTCAAGCTCTCAGAGGGATACTTCACCCACATTCTGATAGATGAAGCCTCTCAGATGTTAGAATGTGAAGCGTTGCTGGCTCTCAGTCTCGCTGGGCCCAACACCAGAGTAGTTTTAGCTGGAGATCACATGCAAATGGGCCCTCGGCTCTTCTCTGTGGATGAGGAACTTCGCTCAGATTGCACACTTCTCACGCGCTTGTTCCATTACTATCAAGGTCAAAAGTGGGACGCTGCTCAAAACAGTAGGATCATTTTTAGCAAGAACTACCGCTCGACCCAAGAAATAGTAGAATTTGTGTCCACCCATTTTTATGTTGGTAAAAATGATGTCATTGAAGCTTGTGGAAATGTTCCAGCCCCTGAAAATGGCCATGCCCTGAAGTTCCATCATGTTCGAGGAAAATGCCAGCTGGACGCTTCATCTTTGACTTGGTTTAACAGACAAGAGGTTACGGAAGTGGTTGAAATAGTGAAAGACATTCTCAAAAACTGGCCATCAACATGGGGGTCCAAGGACCAACCGTCCATCTGTGTTCTGTCTGAAGGTTCTCAGGTAAAGTCCTTCTAAAAGTTTCCTTCAGCAAGGGTTCACGTGTGTTTTTCACAATTTAGAGCTCCTCATTCCAAATGAAGTTAAATAGAGATGTGTCGTACATTTACTAAACGCAGTTGTTAGTTAAACATTTTTTTCTTTGGCTGTGCTTTGTGGTGAAACATTTACAAAAGCAAACTTTTCAAGAGATATTGCCACTTTAAAAAAAAAAACAATAGATGTGATTTTAACTGAAAATCCAGATTCCAGGATGGCCAGTAAAGAGCCAACACATGTGTGACCCTTAATTAGGCTGGCTTTATCAGTCAATAATTTCATAGTCAGCGTTATTACAACTCAGTCTTTTTGGCAGGTTCGACAAATCAGAACAGCCTTTTCAAGATTAGGCCTCTCTGGAATCAATGTGGAAAGTCTGGCAAATGTGCAAGGTAATTTTATTCTGGCTCTAGGTATTCTTGTACGATTATTAAAAAATAATGAAAACTGAGTCAAATGACACAGTTGTCTTAGTTCAAACTTCACTGTCATTTCACTCAAGGAAGTTACTTCTTGTGTTTACAGGCAAACAGTTCAGGGTAGTCATAATGACAGCCGTGCAAACACGCGACAGCCTCAACGAGTCAACCCTGTCAGGTCTACCGCTGTTCAGTGATGCTCGTGTGCTAAATACTGCAATGACTAGAGCTCAGTCTCAGGTGGTCGTTGTTGGAGATGCTGCTGCTCTCTGTTGCTTCGGCAAATGCTCAAGGATTTGGAAGAACTTCATAGACCACTGCATCAGCAACAACAGTGCTGCACCGCAGCATTACACCAAAGATTTCTTTGAAAAGGATGTAATGGAAACTGCCAGGTTTCAAAGGTCTGAAGATGTGGATGAAAGCAACACAATCAGTGACACGATTCTGCAAGAGTTAAGAGATGAATATGAACAACTGAAAACAGAATACAGTTCAGATGAAGAGAGTGTGGAGTTTCAAAGCTTGAATCATCAGAAGTCAGGAGAGTCGGACAGAATTTATAATGATCAGAAAGAACTGTTGGAGTTGTGTGAAAAACAACCCGACATGTTCAAAAGGGGAAAGTTTGTGAAGGAGTCTTTTAAGAAAGGCATCGTCATTCCCTTTAACATAGGCATTCAGGGAATCTCAAACATGGGGATGGCATTCACTGGAGATGAAGTGGTCGTACAAACTGCGACAAAAGAACAAACAGCTAGGGTGGTCGGAATTATCAAGAAAGCAGAATCTTCCCGTGAACTTGCGTGTTTTCTGGAAGATGAAGATCGTAGCAAGAGAAGACTGGCTACCACTGACAGAATTGTAAAAAGGATGATGACACCTATCAAAAGAAGTGCACCCAAAATATGCATCCACCTCAACAAAAAACAACGCAACTTTATCCCAGTGTGGGAGCAGACGGACGGGCACTGGACAGTGATCAGTCTTCACCATGTGAAGGAAGTCCGAGATAGGATATTTGTAGTGAATGTGATTTCCTGGAAAGAGCAATGTTTTTATCCTCTAGGGAATGTCACTGCTATTATTTCAAAGACCGGACCTTTGGATGACAGGCTTTGGCTCCTGAAAGAGGAATTTGATGTTGCAACCACAGTATTCAAAACAAATGACGGTTTCTTTCCAATAGATGAAGATTGTGCACACAGGCGTGATGAACGAAAGGCAATTACTTTCACCGTTGATCCAGCTGGAGCAGAAGATTTAGATGATGCCATCAGTGTCCACGATACTGGAAAACATTATGAGCTGGGAATCCACATTTCAGATGTGGCAAGTTTTGTGAGTATAGATGGTGATTTAGATATGAATGCAGCAAAACGTGGCACCACACATTATGCCAGAGGACAAAAACCCATTTACATGTTTCCCGAAGACTTGAGCACAGGGTGCTTCAGTCTTCTGCCAGATCAGGAACGCAGGGTGGTTTCTCTCTTGTTCAAAGTTGAAAAGGAAACAAATGAAATCGTTGACAAGCCTAAACTGCAGCTTTCAAAGATCAAATCCAACAGAAAGATGACATATGAGGAGGCAGAGAAGATCATTACTGAAAGGTATAAAAAGGACCCCAAGTTTGATACAGTAGAGAACTGTGTCTCTGTGGCCTATTGCTTTGCCAAAGCTCAAAGGAAGTCAAGGCTTGTTGACTGGGCTTACTCTCAGTCAGATAAAGAAAGATTGCCTGGGAAGCGTAAAGCTCATCTGATGATTGAAGAACTGAATGTGTTATTTAACAGACATGCATCAGAATTCTTGCTAGAATCGAGCAAAACAAGGTGCTACACACCCCTCCGATGTCAGGCAAGTCTGAATCCTGAGAAGGTTGAAAATTTCAAGGAGAAATGTGGAGAGTTGATACCTTTGTCTTTTCATGTGCGACACAAAGTTGAGCATCGAGAACAACCCCCAACCTTTGAAACATTCCCTATACTCTTGGAAGTGTGGAAAGATATTCAGTCAGCAGTCAGAGTAGATGATACTGACAAAATGGTGGACTTGGTGGCTGCAGATGACATCTACCCTCTGCTTCAATCCATCCTTGAACAGTTCAGATGCTGCAACAGTAAAGCTTACATAATACGTTCAAACTCTTCACCCAAAGCACAGGTTGGGCATTACTCCCTCCAACTACAGAGTTACACTCAGGCCTCCTCACCTATAAGGCGATACATGGATGTCATCTTACAGAGACTCTTGCACTCTCTCATATGTAACAAGGCACCCCTGTACACTCGAACAGACATTACAACTCTGTGTCATGATTTTGAGAGCAGCATACAGAAAAGCAAGGACTATGAACAAAAGGCGGAGCAGAACTTTTATGCAGTGAGCATTAAAGGGCAGAGTGCAACAAAGCTAGCCTTTGTTGTTCAGGCAGATCAGGAAGGGGACAGCTTTAATGTGTCATTTCCTTTCAACAGGGACTTGTTCCCTTTGAGTTTATCAGTTATGTACAATGAATTACAATTAGAAGACCAACCAAGTTACAATGAAGGAAACCACACCATCACTCTCAAATGGAAAAGACGGATCTACGCAGCTGACACCATGCAAATCCACCAAGAGCTGAGTATGATGTCAATAAACAGTCCGTGCATTGAACTTCCACTGGCAGAATGGAATGATGTTATTACAGCAATTGAAGGGGGAAACTTAGATGAAGCGAAGTCCCTTCTAACGAAGTTACAAAAACATGAACGGAAAATTGCTTTTCCACGAGCAGAGGCACCGATCGAATTAAGCGAACACTGGGTTGATATCCTTCTTCAGCTGCGTCCAGGTGACACCCTTCAGGTACAAATGACATCAGAAGTGAAAAGAGGCATTGATACACCCGTCATTCAATTGGTACGCATCAAACCAAAATTTGAGATTTGTGTGGATCATGTCCACAGTCCCATCAAATGCTTCTCCCAAACTGCTGATGAACCTTCAAAGACTAATTACAGGAATACAGAGGAATATACACAGATCTGGGCACCGATGTGTGAGATGGAGTCTGCTGCCAATGCTGTGATTGAAAGTGACAGCATCACCATTGAGAACCTGGAGGTCACCTTTTATCAGAAACGGAGAGGCACCCTAACTGGAGAGTTCTTTTTAACTGATGACTGGATCAAAGCCTGGGCTATTGAAGTCAACCTTAAAAAGTGCCTACTGTGCATACGCAAAAGAGGCCTGAGGCTGCCTCCAGAATATACCCCAGAACATTATGCTCATGTGGACCCTAAGGAGTTTACATGGGTAGCTCATGGTGTTACAACAAACGTGGAAGAACTGGAAAAGACTGGAAGCAAAGTGGACTTCTACATCAATCACCTTCCAATGGAGACCATTCCTGATAGCATTTTCCAGAAAAAAGCTTCTTTCACCGTAGAGATTATTCCAAAGCTCCTGCCTGACATGTACGTCTAATGAACTCAGTGTCACCTTATGTTTCTCAAATACCTGCTGTTAAATGAACATAAACCATATGAATAGATGTGTGCCTTTTCTTGGTTTAAAATGATTCTTTTTTTCCTTGCTGTAGCCGGAAAGAAGCTGCTGTAATCAACTTACCAGAAGCATGCGACCTAGTTAGGAGAATAGCACTTGGAACAAAAATTCCAAAGAAGGGTAAGTACAACATTCACTGATGGTCACAGTATTAAACTGGTCCCCAATAGGCCCGGCCTGCAAGCCCCCTTTTCTGGTTACAGTGTTAACAGGAGGACCACTAGTTCCACTGGTTCAGCCATCTCTCTGAAAATTTTGTGACAGCAGCACCCCACCCCCCACCACCACCACCCCCCTTCCCCGTTGGACCGGCCCATTATCTCAGAACATTTTTATGTGGCCCCTGACCACTTTATTCGAGTGCCGCTGGTCTAATCTAAATCTAAACTTTCATCTCCAACTACATTTTCTTTGGCTTTATTTACGTTTTTTCTTTAGCAAAACTGCTATGACAACTCAAAATGACACAGATGTCTGCTTTACCTTTGCAGTAGTACAAAGCACTGTGCCAAAATGGAGAGTTACCCGCCTCAAGTTACCGGTTGAACTACCAGAGCTTAATGACAGTCAGTGTAATGCTGTAGTAGCTGCTCTGAATAATGCCTTCACGCTCATACAGGGACCACCCGGTAAGAGCAAGCTCCTGGGGTTCACATACACACTTGACATTTACTTTTAAAGTTTAAGGTTGTTCTTGTTATTTGTTTACTTGATAGGGACTGGGAAGACAGTCGTAGGTGTTTACTTGGTCTACTGGTTTTTGGAGCTGAACTCCAAGACCCAAAGAAAGTTTGATGACCCAAAGGATAAAGACAGACACAAAAAAGAAGTCATACTTTACTGCGGCCCGTCCAACAAGTCTGTTGATGTTGTTGCAGGTAGGTTATGCTCTGAGCTGGTTTTTGTCTTTTATTACTTGAATCCTCTCCAGCCATTCTGACCACTTTGGGTGCTGCGTATTTATAACATAGAGTTCTTAATGAAGTTGAAGAGCCTGAGGATCCTTAGAGTCTACAGTCAAAAAGTCGAGTCTCTTGAGTATCCTTACCCAAACAGCGTCCTGCAGTTTTCCCCAAGGACCCCTCGCCAAGATCGCTCCAAGCCAGAGCTCAGGTACAGCACTCGTTATGTTCAGAATTAAAATCTTTTTTACTTATCTGTCAAAAGAACCAGCAAGCCACCTCGCCTACAGGTATGGAGTGGAAAGTGATGGTTTCATTTGTAAACATAAGAATTTTAAAGGGTTAAGTCCAGTTTGAATGATTTTGAGACTTTAGACCACAACCCTATCTAGAAAGACTTCTGTAATGTAATTTTTCCATGTTTTAGGAGCATCACTCTGCATCATCGCATGAGAAATCCTCCAAACCCTCAAGCAGGAAAAATAAAGGCATTTGATGAACGAATTAAACGTAAAGAAGAGCTGACTGCTGAAGAAGTGAAAGAGTAAGTTACGGTAAAGCATTGGTTAAGTTTGCTTAGCAAGAAAAGTAACTTTATAGTGACAAAAAGTCCCCGTTTTAAATATGATGACGTTTTAATTTGTGAAGCTGAATAAATAAAATTTTATATTTTTACCACTCCCTGATGACAGCAGTTCTAAGTGCATGAAGTGATTTTGTCTTCTAGATACAGACTTCTTCTCAGAGATGCTCGGGAATATGAGTTCAAACAGCATGACGTCATACTGTGCACATGCACACAGTCCTCTACACCCGGCCTCATTTTCTCAGTCAGTGCACGGCAGATCCTGATAGATGAGTGTGCCATGGCCACCGAACCCCAGGCGCTGATTCCTTTGGTCTTCAACAAACCAGAACAGGTGTTCAGTTTTCTCTCAGCTCCCCTTGCCTGTCTCTGATCTTCTGTCTTTCTCCAATCTTCTGTCTGTCTCTGGTCTTCTGTCTGTCTCTGGTCTTCTGTCTTACTCTGATCTTCTGTCTGTCTCTGGTATTCTGTCTGTCTCTGAGCTTCTGTCTTTTTCTGGTCTTCCGTCTTTCTCTGGTCATCTGTCTTTTTCTCATCTTCTGTCTTACTCTGATCTTCTGTCTGTCTCTGGTCCTCTGTCTTACTCTGATCTTCTGTCTGTCTCTGGTATTCTGTCTGTCTCTGAGCTTCTGTCTTTTTCTGGTCTTCCGTCTTTCTCTGGTCATCTGTCTTTTTCTCATCTTCTGTCTGTCTCTGGTCTTCTGTCTTTCTCTGGTCTTCTGTCTTACTCTGATCTTCTGTCTTTTTATGGTGTTCTTTCTTTTTCTGGTCTTCTAACTTTCTCCGGTCTTTTATCTGTCTCTGGTCTTTCATTTGGTTTGGTCTTCTTTCTTTCTTTTGTCTTTAGTCTTACTCTGGTCTTCTGTCTGTCTCTGTCTTCTGTCTTTCTCTGGTCTTCTGTTTTTCTCTGTCTTCTGTCTTTTTCTGGTCTTCTGTCTTTCTCTGATCTTCTGTCCGTTCTTGGTATTCGTCTTTTTCTGATCTTCTATCTGTCTCTGGTCTTCTGACTTTCTCTGGTCTTCTGTCTTTCTCTGTCTTCTGTCTTTTTCTGGTCTTCTGTCTTTCTCTGTCTTCTGTCTTTTTCTGGTCTTCCGTCTTTTTCTGATCTTCTATCTGTCTCTGGTCTTCTGACTTTCTCTGGTCTTCTGTCTTACTCTGGTCTTCTGTCTTTTTATGGTGTTCTTTCTTTTTCTGGTCTTCTACCTTTCTCTGGTCTTTTATCTGTCTCTGGTCTTTCATTTGGTTTGGTCTTCTTTCTTTCTTTCTTTTGTCTTTAGTCTTACTCTGGTCTTCTGTCTGTCTCTGTCTTCTGTCTTTCTCTGGTCTTCTGTTTTTCTCTGTCTTCTGTCTTTTTCTGGTCTTCTGTCTTTCTCTGATCTTCTGTCCGTTCTTGGTATTCGACTTTTTCTGATCTTCCTTCTTTTTCTGGTCTTCCGTCTTTTTCTGATCTTCTATCTGTCTCTGGTCTTCTGACTTTCTCTGGTCTTCTGTCTTTCTCTGTCTTCTGTCTTTTTCTGGTCTTCTGTCTTTCTCTGTCTTCTGTCTTTTTCTGGTCTTCCGTCTTTTTCTGATCTTCTATCTGTCTCTGGTCTTCTGACTTTCTCTGGTCTTCTGTCTTACTCTGGTCTTCTGTCTTTTTATGGTGTTCTTTCTTTTTCTGGTCTTCTACCTTTCTCCGGTCTTTTATCTGTCTCTGGTCTTTCATTTGGTTTGGTCTTCTTTCTTTCTTTTGTCTTTAGTCTTACTCTGGTCTTCTGTCTGTCTCTGTCTTCTGTCTTTCTCTGGTCTTCTGTTTTTCTCTGTCTTCTGTCTTTTTCTGGTCTTCTGTCTTTCTCTGATCTTCTGTCCGTTCTTGGTATTCGTCTTTTTCTGATCTTCTATCTGTCTCTGGTCTTCTGACTTTCTCTGGTCTTCTGTCTTTCTCTGTCTTCTGTCTTTTTCTGGTCTTCCGTCTTTTTCTGATCTTCTATCTGTCTCTGGTCTTCTGACTTTCTCTGGTCTTCTGTCTTACTCTGGTCTTCTGTCTTTTTATGGTGTTCTTTCTTTTTCTGGTCTTCTACCTTTCTCCGGTCTTTTATCTGTCTCTGGTCTTTCATTTGGTTTGGTCTTCTTTCTTTCTTTTGTCTTTAGTCTTACTCTGGTCTTCTGTCTGTCTCTGTCTTCTGTCTTTCTCTGGTCTTCTGTTTTTCTCTGTCTTCTGTCTTTTTCTGGTCTTCTGTCTTTCTCTGATCTTCTGTCCGTTCTTGGTATTCGACTTTTTCTGATCTTCCTTCTTTTTCTGGTCTTCCGTCTTTTTCTGATCTTCTATCTGTCTCTGGTCTTCTGACTTTCTCTGGTCTTCTGTCTTACTCTGGTCTTCTGTCTTTTTATGGTGTTCTTTCTTTTTCTGGTCTTCTACCTTTCTCCGGTCTTTTATCTGTCTCTGGTCTTTCATTTGGTTTGGTCTTCTTTCTTTCTTTTGTCTTTAGTCTTACTCTGGTCTTCTGTCTGTCTCTGTCTTCTGTCTTTCTCTGGTCTTCTGTTTTTCTCTGTCTTCTGTCTTTTTCTGGTCTTCTGTCTTTCTCTGATCTTCTGTCCGTTCTTGGTATTCGTCTTTTTCTGATCTTCTATCTGTCTCTGGTCTTCTGACTTTCTCTGGTCTTCTGTCTTTCTCTGTCTTCTGTCTTTTTCTGGTCTTCTGTCTTTCTCTGTCTTCTGTCTTTTTCTGGTCTTCCGTCTTTTTCTGATCTTCTATCTGTCTCTGGTCTTCTGACTTTCTCTGGTCTTCTGTCTTACTCTGGTCTTCTGTCTTTTTATGGTGTTCTTTCTTTTTCTGGTCTTCTACCTTTCTCTGGTCTTTTATCTGTCTCTGGTCTTTCATTTGGTTTGGTCTTCTTTCTTTCTTTTGTCTTTAGTCTTACTCTGGTCTTCTGTCTGTCTCTGTCTTCTGTCTTTCTCTGGTCTTCTGTTTTTCTCTGTCTTCTGTCTTTTTCTGGTCTTCTGTCTTTCTCTGATCTTCTGTCCGTTCTTGGTATTCGACTTTTTCTGATCTTCCTTCTTTTTCTGGTCTTCCGTCTTTTTCTGATCTTCTATCTGTCTCTGGTCTTCTGACTTTCTCTGGTCTTCTGTCTTTCTCTGTCTTCTGTCTTTTTCTGGTCTTCTGTCTTTCTCTGTCTTCTGTCTTTTTCTGGTCTTCCGTCTTTTTCTGATCTTCTATCTGTCTCTGGTCTTCTGACTTTCTCTGGTCTTCTGTCTTACTCTGGTCTTCTGTCTTTTTATGGTGTTCTTTCTTTTTCTGGTCTTCTACCTTTCTCCGGTCTTTTATCTGTCTCTGGTCTTTCATTTGGTTTGGTCTTCTTTCTTTCTTTTGTCTTTAGTCTTACTCTGGTCTTCTGTCTGTCTCTGTCTTCTGTCTTTCTCTGGTCTTCTGTTTTTCTCTGTCTTCTGTCTTTTTCTGGTCTTCTGTCTTTCTCTGATCTTCTGTCCGTTCTTGGTATTCGTCTTTTTCTGATCTTCTATCTGTCTCTGGTCTTCTGACTTTCTCTGGTCTTCTGTCTTTCTCTGTCTTCTGTCTTTTTCTGGTCTTCCGTCTTTTTCTGATCTTCTATCTGTCTCTGGTCTTCTGACTTTCTCTGGTCTTCTGTCTTACTCTGGTCTTCTGTCTTTTTATGGTGTTCTTTCTTTTTCTGGTCTTCTACCTTTCTCCGGTCTTTTATCTGTCTCTGGTCTTTCATTTGGTTTGGTCTTCTTTCTTTCTTTTGTCTTTAGTCTTACTCTGGTCTTCTGTCTGTCTCTGTCTTCTGTCTTTCTCTGGTCTTCTGTTTTTCTCTGTCTTCTGTCTTTTTCTGGTCTTCTGTCTTTCTCTGATCTTCTGTCCGTTCTTGGTATTCGACTTTTTCTGATCTTCCTTCTTTTTCTGGTCTTCCGTCTTTTTCTGATCTTCTATCTGTCTCTGGTCTTCTGACTTTCTCTGGTCTTCTGTCTTACTCTGGTCTTCTGTCTTTTTATGGTGTTCTTTCTTTTTCTGGTCTTCTACCTTTCTCCGGTCTTTTATCTGTCTCTGGTCTTTCATTTGGTTTGGTCTTCTTTCTTTCTTTTGTCTTTAGTCTTACTCTGGTCTTCTGTCTGTCTCTGTCTTCTGTCTTTCTCTGGTCTTCTGTTTTTCTCTGTCTTCTGTCTTTTTCTGGTCTTCTGTCTTTCTCTGATCTTCTGTCCGTTCTTGGTATTCGACTTTTTCTGATCTTCCTTCTTTTTCTGGTCTTCCGTCTTTTTCTGATCTTCTATCTGTCTCTGGTCTTCTGACTTTCTCTGGTCTTCTGTCTTTCTCTGTCTTCTGTCTTTTTCTGGTCTTCCGTCTTTTTCTGGTCTTCAGTCTTTTTCTGATCTTCTATCTGTCTCTGGTCTTCTGACTTTCTCTGGTCTTCTGTCTTTTATTGGTCTTCCGTCTTTTTCTGGTCTTCCGTCTTTTCTGGTCTTCCGTATTTTCTGGTCTTCCGTCTTTTTCTGATCTTCTATCTGTCTCTGGTCTTCTGTCTGTCTCTGGTCTTCCGTCTTTCTCTGATGTTCAGTCTGTCTCTGGTCTTCTGTTTTTCTCTGGCCTTTTGTCTTTTTCTGGTCTTCTGAATAAAAAAAAAGATTGATCATGTTTGGATTGAGAGGGCTGGCAGCAGCCATGATTCTTACACCATTTGTGCTTTGTGACTCAACAGATTGTTTTGATTGGTGACCACAAACAACTACGACCAGTTGTGAAAAATCAGAGTGCAACAAAACTTGGAATGTCAGAGTCCCTTTTTGAGCGCTACTACACAAAATTACATGAAAACAGGGCAGTGATGCTGGACACGCAATACAGAATGGTGAAGCCATGACACATATACTGGACTCTAGTAGTGTGGGACATCTTCCTAAAATCACTGTTTTGTTTCCAATAGCATGAGGACATCTGTAAGTTCCCATCCGAAGAATTTTATGATAACAAGCTTAAGACTGGTGTGGAGCAGCCATGCAGTGTGCTTCATGTTAGCGACAGGACAATGCCAGTCGTCTTTGGGCATGTAGAAGGAGAGACTGTCCATTTAGTGGTGAATACTGCGAAGGGCAACACCAACTCCAAAGCCAACAGGAAGGAGCGAGACCATGTGGTACCTTACTGAGCTCCTACACACTCTGTTCCGTGATTTGATTCATGATGCTTACCACTGTTGACATGTTTGCAGACAAAGATCGCCAAAATGCTTGTGGAGAGAGCAAAAGTGGACAAGAAAAACATTGTTATTCTGTCACCCTACAATGCCCAAGTGTCAGAGATTCAAGAAGAGCTGCAGAAAATGAACCTGGAAGGAATCACAGTTACCACAATCACCAAAAGTCAAGGTAACAGCTACCATGTACGGGGTTTGTACAAGTGCTTGAAATCCTTGAAAGTGCTTGAATTTCAGAAACGTGTTTTCAAGGTATGGAAAGTGCTTGATTTCCTGTATTAAATCCTTGACAATAAAACTGCACAGTTTTGTATTTAAAATCAACCAAGAAAGTTTAATGGCAAAACTCAATTTGTTAAACTAGAGAGCGTTCATTTAACCTTTAATAAACACAGTCGCTGCTGCTCTGAGTGGGTCAGCTCCTTTCTGTAACACCGCTGTGTGAGCAGCAGACCACCTAATATAGATAACAGCAGCTGGACCAACGACGTCCTCTGGCCTTGCTATGAAGATGGTATGCTAGAGGGTGTGTGAGACCCTGCCTCGGCACAGGAATCCAACGGTCCTTCTGTAATAAAATTGGTAGAGTAGAACTTCACAAACTCTGTTCAGAAATATCTGTTGACATTGAATTTCCTTACTGTGGGAGTAAATAAAGTCTATTTTATTAAAACATGTCCTATTATCATTAAAGGTGCATTATGTAGAAATGAAGTAAAAATTACATCCCGTGGTAAAATTTGGTAACTGCAACCACTTTAAAACAACTCTGGAGCTTTTTGCCAGTGTTGCAGTATTAGCTTGCAGGAGACACAGCACCCCCACATGCACTGATGGTAAACAGTAGTTATGCCCCTCCGTCCTTTGTTTTGAAAGGAGGAAAACTGATAATCCCCACAGCCAGCTGGATAAGAAATATGTTTCAGTAGAACCTTCCTTCCAAAATGACTGAAACATTAGACTTTTGGGATTTTCTCATTGTAAAATTCTCACTACATTCTTACATACTGCACCTTTAGGAACTTTTTGACTGACCAGTAACATAAACGGGGAGAGAGACAGCATTGCTATAAAGGCAACGAAGAGCTTCTACAGAAGCCTGGTAGTCCAAACAAATAGTCATTTTACATAAAAAGGTTTTTTTTCTTTTCTTCAGAAACATGGATGCTTGTAAATAAACTCAAACAAAAAATTTATATTTAATGGAGGACTAGTCTCTGATGCACATAGACAAGCCCACTTTATTTGTATGACGCCCCACAACGGTATAAAACCGACCAAAGTGCTTCACAGAAATTAAAAACATTAAAAACAATACAGTCCTCCCTGGGCTACCACCTTACTGTGGTGCAGGGGTTTGAGTGTCCCAATGATCCTAGGAGCTAAGTTGTCTGAGGCTTTATGCCTCTGGTAGGGTCACCCATGGCAAACAGGGTGAGGGCTCAGACAAAGAGCAGCCCAAAGACTTCTTATGATGAATAATATTAATGGAAACCTTGTTCCCTCGCCCGAACATGGGTCATCAGGGCCCCCCTCTGTAGCCATGCCTGGAGGTTGGGCATGTTTGCGAGCGCCTGGTGTCCCAGCTTGCACCCATGGAGCCTGGTCGGGCACAGCTCAAAGAGGGAACCTGGGTTTCCGTTCCCATGGGCTCACCACGCATGGCAGGGGCCAAAGGGGTGGGGTACAGTGTGTGGTGTATGATAGTCGAGGGCGGGGACCTTGGCGGTCTGATCCTCAGCTACAGAAGCTGTGCTCATCATGGATTGTCCATGATGAGCACCATGTTCAAGACGTAAATATGTACTCTTGGCACCAGGGCACCTTAGGCCACTGCTCGATGATCGATTTTGTTGTTGTTTCATCTGACCTGCGGCTGTATGTCTTGGACACTCAGTGAAGAGAGGGGCGGAGCTGTCAACTGACCACTACCTGGTGGTGAGTTGGCTCCAATGGTGGGGGAAGATGCCAGTCAGACCAGGCAGGCCCAAAGGTATTGTGAGGGTCTGCTGGGGACATCTGGCAGAGTCTCCTGTCAGAAGGAGCTTCAGTTCCCACCTCCGACAGAACTTCTAAAATGTTCCGGGGGAAGGGGGGAACATTGAGTTCGAATCAGCCCTGTTCCATGCCTCCATTGTTGAGGCGGTCGACCGGAGCTGTGGCCGCAGGGTCGTCGGTGCCTGTCGTGGCGGCAGCCCCCGAACCTGCTGGTGGACATCGGCGGTTAGGGATGCTGTCAAGCAGAAAAATGTGTCCTATCAGGTCTTGTTGGTCTGTGGGACTACCAGCAGTCCAAGTGGAACGCGGCTCGGGTGCTCGCAGAGGCAGAAACCTGGGCGTGGGAGGAGTTAGGTAAGACCATGGAGCAAGAATTTCGCATGGCTTTGAGGAGATTCTGGTCCACCATCTGGTGCCTCAGGAGGGGAAAGCAGTGTGCTACCAGCACTGTTTATAGTGGGAACGGTGTGCTGCTGACCTCTACTCGGGACGATGTGGATCGGTGGGCAGAATACTTCGAAGACCTCCTCAATCCCACCGGCATGTCTTCAAGTGAGGAAGCAGAGTCTGGGAACTGGTGCTGAGATCACTGAGGTGGTGAAAAAGCTCCCCTGTGGCAAAGGTCCAGAGGTGGATGAGATCCACCCAGACTTCCTTAAGGCTCTGGATGTTGTGGGGCTGTGTTGGCTGACGCGGCTCTGCAATATCGTGTGGACATCGGGGTAGGGATGAATCAGATACTCGTTTCAGACGAGTATCTGGTACAGATAAAGCATTTTTGACGAATATGAGCATGAAATGAGTAAAACTTGTAAATATCTGTAATCGTGCTGAAGGAAAATCCTTATTGCGTAACTGACTGTCTTCACGCTCTGTAATTGGCCAGTCAAATAGAGCAACCAACCCTCCCTACACACAAAGCGCTGCAGCTGGGAGCTCAGTCCGGCCCATGCATCCACACACACAGACAGTAATGGATCTCTCTGTGCTTGCTTCACTGTTGCTCACATTTCTTCAGTACTCCCTAGGTTTTCCTCAGCTCGCCTATTTTTCAGTTGAATATTTAAAGTAACTTTTTTCGTAACTTATGTGGTGCATTTGACAAGACAGAGCTGACGTGCTGCGTCAGTCACTGCCTCCGCCCCGGTCAGGCTTTAAAAAATTTTTTTTAACTCTCTCTCCCTCTCTTTCTCTCCCTCTCTAACTCACACACACACACCTTAATCAACATTGTTTTGTTTAACTTTGTGTGGGGAAAAATGCCAAGAATGTTAAGAAAAAAATCTGTTTAATCAAATTAAAATAAAAAAAATATGTAAAGTTGTGTCTGGTTCTAGCATTTCATATTTTCTAGTTCATACTGCATGAGTTCATATGTATTAACTCATGCACTTAAATAATAATGTTCTGATTTTATTGAAAAACTTGTTCTGTAATAGTTCCTTTACTATTGTGATAAAAAATATTTTATCTCAATTCTGAGGCAGCTCTGTAAATAGTTTTCAAATAAACAATACACATATCAACTTCTGATCATTCCATATCAATTTCAGATTTAAAATAATGTATTGATGTAAACCACACCCACTTCTGGTTAAACCACGCCCACTTTTGGGTTATGCCACGCCCGCTCCGAGTACAGATACAGATAATTTAGATGGTTGAACAGATACAGATAGTGGTGTACTCGCTCATCCCTACATTGGGGGCAGTCCCACTGGACTGGCAGACCAGGGGGCTGGGTCCCGTATTTAAAAAGGGTACGGCAGGGTGTTTTCCATCTACAGGGGGATCACACTCCTGAGCCTCCCTGGTAATGTCTATTCAGGGGTTCTGGAGAGGAAACATTTTCAGTCATAAGTGACAATAGTCAGAAATGTAGCGGGAGCGCTTCAAAGAACTGCAAAAGCAGGAAACAACTTGACCTCAGATGCATTTCAAAATCTGAAATGTTGTGTTTTTGTTTACTTTCTCCCTGCTTTGTGAAGATTTTTTTTTTAATTGTTTTTATGATGGGACTATTTTATGCCTTGTGTGCAGCGCTTTGGTTGGCTGTAATGCCATGTTAAAAGCGCTTTATAAATAAAAGTAGTATGGTAGATAATTAATAATTATGTTCTGATCATATTTTCCCCAATCCGTGTCTAAGTTATTTGAGTATGAAGTTGATGCTTGTAACTTTGAATATAATAGAAAACTTTATTTGTCTGACAGCAAATGGTTACAGAAATGTGTATTTTACCAGGGCTCATCTTCCTGTTTTCATGTAATTTCCCTAGTTTAGCTGCCAAAAAGACATCATTCATTCAGGAAGAACATTGGTAAGAAATGTGTTAATATTACGAATGTTTGAAAATAGCCTTGTTGCTCATTATTCAAATTGTACAAACAGTGTGTGGCTGTGTTGAGCGATAAGCGTTACCATGTCGCAGCCAGCAGGCTTACGCTTCCCTACACAACACCAACATTTACCATCACAGTGTAATAGACACACTGCCATCTTGGCTGAGCTCTTTCTGTGGGCAGTTCTCTCAGTGTCAGTGTTTTTGTCCATGTCATTATCGCCAGGACTCTCATGAGAATGCGGTTTTAAATCTCAATGGGACCTTCCTGGTTAAATAAAGGATAAAAAATTAAAAATAAACTGAACTGCATTGAACTGCGTTATCAGGGTTTTTGGTTTTAAAGAGACAGACTAGGGGTGTTTCTCAATGGCAAAGTACTTGGCCTAGCAAGGCAATGTCTTGCTTTAAATGGAACAGACTAGTGTCGTGGTCACGTCATGCGACGTGAGGTAAATTTATATTTTATACATGTAAGCTTGGGCTGCACAGTGGTGCAGTGGCTAGCGCTGCTGCCTTGCAGAAAGAAGGTCCTGGGTTTACATCCCAGCCTGGGGTCTGCATGGAGTTTGCATACCGTAAATCCTCTAATACAGGCCGGTATTCAATTAAAGGCAGGGTCTCCAATTTTGGCCGGTGTCGGAGTCGGCGGAGGTTAATAATGGCCGGTTTCTTATTGTGGCTGGGTGGAATGTGGTAACAAGCAAGTACGGAGGCGGTTGTGTCATCGTCTCACTTTTGATTTGCGAGTGATAGACCGCGAGGGTAACTTTAACCGTGCGGAGACGAAGAGGAGGCGAAAATTTGATATCAAGTTCAAAGAGAACGTGCGCTGCAGAACACTGGGGAGCAATAGGGGTTGTATGAACTAGTCGACTTCACTATAGTGACTTTTTATGCCTGTCGTTGACTAGTCGCTGTCACGTGATAATGACCGGCAAGATGCAGCCCTCGGAAAAGACAGCAGCCTGCTGTCAGCGGGTGACAAGCTCCTGCGCTCGGGGGGGGGGTGGGGGGTGGGGGGGCAACGCACTGTGCCAGAGCGTCGGTACTGACACGCGATCGTTCATGTCGGCTCATTTCCTTTAATGTTTTCTGTCTTTTATTTGCGCCTGATGTGTTTTGCTGCTGTGGAGCGGGGCGCATCACCTTGTCCTCCGACGCACCGATCACTGATGCGGCCGCCAAGCAGGGAGCACTCCGCTGTTTTTGTGGTCGGTAAATCTGCCTCTTGAGCCCGGCCAAAGTAACAATCAGGTGTTGCCAAATTATTTAACACGCGATCGTTCATGTCGGTTCATTTCCTTTGATGTTTTCTGTCTTTTATTTGCGCCTGATGCGTTTCGCTGTGGAGCGGGGTGCATCAACTTGTCATCCGGTGACGCACCGATCACTGATGTGGCTGGCAAGCAGCGAGCACTCCGCTGTTTTTGCGGTCGGTAGATCTTTTAGAACTGCAGTTCAAAGGTAACTCATGAGGTGAATATATATGAACCCAGGTAGCAGTTTCTATTTAGGATTGAGAAGAGATGCAGGAAGATAATAAACAGAGACAGGACAGAAAAATAGTCAAATAAAAACAAGTTAGTTTTTGTACCTGCTGGTTGCAACAAACAGACACCATTGAAGGTAATCAGAAGTGAGGAACAGAAAATGAAATAATTATTTTAATGTTTAGAGCAGCAGGAACTCTGAGAGGCTGCAGGCGCATCAGTGAGTTTGCGGCCGCTGCGCAGGGGGAGGGGGGAGATGGTTGAAGCAGAAACTACCGTTGTTAAAAGAAATGTGTTTAACTTTGAAAATGTGGGCGCAATATTAATTGTCAAAAACTCCAGCGAACCATTAGTTCATTTTGCTCAAATAGAAATAGAGGCCTGCCTCTAATACTGGCCCTCCTTCCAATAAAGGCCTGGAGCTTGATGAGCTTGAGTCAAATACAGGCCCGGGCCTGTATTAGAGGATTTACGGTAGTTTCCCTGTGCACGGGTGGTTCTCTCTGGGTACTCTGGCTTCCTCCCACAGTCCAAAAACAGGACTGTCAGGTTAATTGGTCTGTCTAAATTATCCTTAGGTTTGAGTGTGTGAGTGCTTGGTTGTTTGTCCTGTGTGTCTCTGTGTTGCCCTGCAGTGGACTGGCAACCTGTTCAGGGTGTACCCCACCTGTTTGACTGCTGGAGATAGGCATCAGCCCCACGCGACCCTACATGGACAAGCGGGTTCAGATAATGGATGGATACGTATAAGTTCAATATAAATGTATAATAAGCCGTTTACTTTTAATATTGTGTATATATTGCTTAAAATAAATTAAATATTTAAGCGAGTTACTACCTGCTAGTCTCTGAAGCTGCAACTACTAAACAACTAACCAACCAACCATAAATAACTGCTTTGGATCTAAAAAACATTTTAAATGATAGCTATAATTAGTTGACTTACATTTACAGTAAACTGGAAATTTGCCTCCGAAGTAGCTGCCGGCTCCTGATTCACCATCCTTTTGAAAATACCGCACTGTTTTCTGGGAAATATTTGACCAACGCCAGGCTACAAGACACCTTCTGTGTATCCTTGCTCAGCTAGCTAAACGGCTAACAAACGGAGAACATACTTCTCTGTAGAACATGAACATGTCTTGGCGGTTCCTGATGACATATATCCTAGGAAACTGGGACGAGACCTTGACGTTGAGAAACACCCTAGGACTAAGTGCTGACAAGTTAAAATGTAAACAAAGCCATTGTCATTAAGTTTGAAAATCTATATCTGAGGATGAATTTAAAAGGTCACACTAGTTGCTTTATAAGATTATCTCTGATCTTTTCCTACCAGATTCCAGTCATTTAAAGCTACACGATAAGGCCCAAATTCTAATCCCATGGATGGATAGAATTCTCAATAAAATTGTTTGAGCATATGGAAATCCATAACTGCACCTAGTACGAAGTCGCTGCACCTCTGCTTTGCAAAGATTCAGCTGAGATGGCTTGGGCTTCCTGGACAATTAAAATCCTCAAGTAAAAGTAATCTTTTTTTTCTTGCAGGGAGTGAATGGTGTTACGTCATTGTTTCAACAGTGGTCTCACTTCCAAACAAAGACATTGTGAAGGATCCAGATGGTGCCTGGTTCTCCAAACATATCGGCTTTGTGGGAGACCCCAACCAGATAAACGTGGCCATCACCAGGGCCAAAGAGGGACTGTGCATCATTGGTGAGATTTACATGATATTTTGGAAACCCTGAACCATCCATGGCTCAAGATGGTTTCTGTAGCACGGAGCTAATCTGTTGGGCCTTCCCTACTAGCATCGGCTCCACACCGCCCGGATAGCCCCAGCCTGGCCCAGTTGACTCCACACATCCACACTGTAAACCCACTGGGCTGATTCTACCCACCATTGAAGGCTTCCCCTAATGGGAGGCGTGAATTTGGGCTGGCCTGTCAGTCAGCAGTGGGTGTTGGTCCTGGTCAGCCTGAAGCAGACCACCTCGGGAAGGAGGCTGAAAAACAGTCTGGTTGCACCCTGAAAAAAGGCAGGCAATGCTAATGTGGACACACTATGCTGTCCAGACCATGTAGAGCCGATGCTAGTGGGAAAGGCCCATTTGTCAGTCAACTGACAACACTACAGAGATAGCAGTAATCAATAGTTCCTCTGCTTTTTAAATCTCTGTTGTTGCTGTTATTGTTTCATCACAAATGCTTCCTATAACGAGAAGGATCCTGAGAAATCTTGTCAAGAACCTGGTCTTTTTCAGAGTTGGTTGGGTCTCACCCTAGAGTGGTTCCAACTGTTTGAAGGACAGTTCTTTAGTTTGATGTGTCACGGCAGAGGAAGCCTTGGTTAATCATGACCCACTCTCCACTTGAAGTGGATTAGCTGCAGCTTCATTTCTAAATGTCGGCTGAGATACATTCCCAACGTTCAAGTGCCTCTCAGAACTCTGCTCAGATTTCACTTTGTTGTAATCAATCAATTGTAATGTTGTACATATAATATGTAGAGGGGTAAATATTGTGCTTTTAAGCTTAATATATTACCTTTACATATGACCAGGAAGATGTGATGTTCTATATAAATATAGAATATCAACCTGCTGGGTCTTTGGATGTTTAATCAGAAGATTGTAGGATTCTTTGCTTTTCAGGGATCAAAGGGTAATGGTTAGGGGTAGGCTTAGGGTTAAAAAGTAAGAATTTATTTTTCTCAAACAATTAAAAACATGAGAAGTTAACTGAGACTACTGTGATGGATGAATCTAAAGCGGATGTAATGTGAGGTGTGATGATGTATGAATGTGATGTTATCAGAACCTTCGTATCTGGAGAAGCAAGTTCTGAGTGGGAGTGAATTTGGTTTGCTCTAAACTAATTGATGGTTTCTAAAACCACATCAGACATAATCTTGTGAGCCCTCGTACCCATTCTGGAGACCCCCTATTGGATCCGAGATGTCATAGAGTCTGGTGACCCCAGTGCCTCGAGGTTAGTAGGAAAATCACGAGGCGACTAAGTCAGTCCTGAGATTTGTCCGGGTCGCACAGTTGTTTGCGTCTTAGGAATAACTCTTAAGGAGTTGAAGTTGTCTTGCCTTGGTTCTAAAGAAACCGGTTGCGGTGCCAGCTGTAGATGCGATGGTTGGAGTTTCCCTCCGATGGCCAGTCGAAGTTATGCTCATAACTTGAATCCTGGATTGGAAAGCTTGTGCTGAATCACTCAAGTGATTCTGTTTTAATATTCTCATATTATGATTCACTCGGCCAATCGAAGCTTGACATGTTAAGGGGTGTTCACAACAAATCTCAGAACCACACCTTCCCAGATACAGGATGCTCTGATTGGTGCAGTAGAAAAAACTGTGTCATGACATTTAACTTAACTTTAATTTATCTCTAATGAACCTATTGTCTCAGTGTGGATGATGATTACCTTGTCATATCAAACATTAATGATCATATATGTCATTTCAAAACTTCAGTAATTCAAGCACAGATCAATCAACCTTATTAGGCACAGATTAATCAATACATTTTCAGGCATTTTTTACAATCTCAGCTCATCTTCTGAGCTGTCATTCAGTCTGGTTACCGTGACAACGTGTGTACAACCGGGAAGCAGAGGAGGTTCCCGCATGGATCGGATTCGTGCGGTTTATCTGTCGCTTCACAATGGGTCCAATATAGCTCCAGCAGATCTCCTTCAGGGAGGTCAGTGCGCTCACAGAGGACGCGTTTCTTCCAGAGATCACACTCTGACAAATCCTCCAATAATAATAATAAGAAGAAACAATCTTTTATCATCGCCTCTCAAGCAAAATCATGAAGCACTTCACGAGGACAATAAAAATAAGAAGTTAAAAAAAGATTAACACCATCATAAAAGTGAGGACTAATACTTGTGATTACAAAATTAGCCATTGTACAATGTCAGATTCCTGTCGGTAACGGGCGTTTGAGCACCAATAATGTGATCCAATGCAGGTGTTATTCCACCAAAATAATTATTTATTGGGTAACATAATTAGTGGATGAGGAACATGTGTAGACGACTGAGACCTTTGATGTTGCGGCTTCCCTGTTTTACCACTAGATGCTGTTCCTACGCATGGTCGGAGCTTTTCTTTAGGAACATTTCTACGTACAAGTACAAATAGGTAAATACGAACCAATGCGTAAAATCATTCCTACGCTTGAAATATGCACAGGTCTGTTTGTAAGTAGAGTAGATAAATGAGGGCCCACGGTTTTTCATTATCTGTAGAAATTTGGAATTGAATACTCAAACTGAACAGAAACCTGTCCAACATGCCGCAGGTGGGTCCCTTATACACATATACTGGTCATGCCCAAGTCTCAGGAAATACCACCTTGATTTCTTTCAAACCATATCTTCAGTTCTCCAAACCCACTGGTGGCCCTTTTTGCACTGCTGGGAAAATAGATTTCCATCTGAATGTTGTGTGTTAGCACTTGCTTTTCTTTTGGCTAGGCACAGAACCTACACACCTACACACGTGCAATGGTTGAAGGATCTTATGTCTCCTCTAAACGTTGAAAAGATCCACTATTCTGTAAATATCAATGATAAGTTTTATAGGGTGTGGGGGACATTTCTCAAGTTTTTTTCAGAATCTCACACTCAGAAGTCAGTTCTTAACTTATTCTAAATGTTTTTCTTTCTTTATTATTTATTCTCTTCCTATTGTTGTTGCTTGGTAGTTCGTTAGGTTTAGGAAGGTTAGGTATTTGGGGTAATTGTATACATACCATGACCAACTTGTTTATTTACAAGGACAGATAGTGGTGCATAATTTTCTTTTATTAATCATTGGTTGTTACTATAAAAATTTTCAGTTAGATATATCAAATAGGAAACACACACAGTGATATTTGAGAAATGAAACAGAGTTTATAGGATTTACAAAATTAGGCAGGTGCATACATTTTGGCACCACAAAAAAGAAATTAACTCAATATTTAGTAGCTTCTCCTTTAGCAGAAATAACAGCATCTAAACACTTCCTATAGCTTCCAATGAGAGTCTGGATTCTGGCTGAAGGTATTTGGACCATTTTTCTTTACAAAACATCTCTAGTTCATTTGGGTTTCTGAGCATGGACCGCTCTCTTTAACTCACACCACAGATTTTCAATAATATTCAGGTCTGGGGACTGAGATGAACATTCCAGAACATTCTACTTGTTCCTCTGCATGAATGCCTTAGTCAATGTTGAGCAGTGTTTAGAGTCGTTGTGTTGTTGACAGATCCAGCTCCGGTGCAGCTTCAGCCTTGTCACTGATTCCTGGACATTTGTCTCCAGAATCTGCTGATATTGAGTGGAATCCATGCGTCCCTCAACTTTAGCAAGATTCCCAGTCCCTGCACTGGTCACACAGCCCACAGCATGACAGAACCACCACCGTGTTTTACTGTAGGTAGCAGGTGGTCTTCGTTTGACGCTGTGTTGTTTTTCATCTGAGATTTTTCTTTGCCTACCACTTCGAGCCTTAACTTGGCCTGTGGTCTTCCATTTCCTCAATTTGTTTCCAACTGTGTTCTAAAGGTTTTGGAATCAATAAAAGTTAAAAGTATAAAAATATTTCAAAAAATTATTGAAAATATGTTTTAAAGGGACATTATGGAAGTTTGACAGCCAAAACATGTATAGAAAAATAAATGTCTTCTTCATACATTCTCCTGCAATGCCCTGGTCCTGTAGAATGAGCCCTGACATTTTTACTGTGATTGCCTGTTTTTCTGTAAAATCACAGAAAAAGAGAGCTGCTCGGGTCGAGCAGGCTGCTTCATGCGTGTTCACGCTCAGGCATCGCCCGTAGCATTTGCTATCCGTAGCTTTAGCAGCAGAAAGAGAGGTAGTGCCAACACAGCGACTTTGTCGCTATTCCTAACGCCTAGTGATGAACCTAGCTACATTTCTGAGGACCCTTAGCTACTTTCTGTAGAACTTTCTTCTAGATATTTCCTGCAAATTAGCAACAAAACAGCCATTTTCACTCCGAACTGTTCTTTGGATTGACGTTGTTTCAGGTGTCATTAAGGATATAAAAGTTACAGATACATTTAATGTTACTGGTGATTTAACTCACCTAGTAAGATGTCTGACTCACTTGCTGAAGACCTGGGTTTGAATCTGGGTATGAACATCGTTCATTTAGAGTTTCTTTTTTACATTAGTGGTATATTTTTTTTACAGTAAGATGCCCAAAGTTTTATTTGAGACTCGCCGAACGGCATTGAATTCACAGATAAAAAAGATGTGGGTTCAACTTTCATTTCGGAACAATTTTTCAAGCAAGGGAAGGGAATGATCTGAGCATGCAGGAGGACTGACCCATCTTAAACCTTTGTCGGCTGTGCTGAAGATAAAGGTACAGAACCAAGTTATTTAATTAATTAGCTGCGCGTTCTCCTGTCCTCTGTCCTCCGGGCCACACACACACACACACACACACACACACACACACACACACACACACACACACACACACACACACACACACACACACACACACATTTTCGTTAAGGGGTGTGCACGTACAGCATGCGCGCCTCGTGCACAAGCCTACTATTGAAGTTGCCATCACGCTTTTGGCCTGAGGGGGCAATCGCGAGCATAAAAATTCAAAAGTCCGTAAAGTCCCTTTAAAGGAGAAAGGAATAAAAAAAAATGTGAGGAAAGGGAGAGAGAA